GTAGTCCCTTGGAGCGAGAGAAACAAGCACTGCTTGTACAAACGAGCTTGTCGGTGTCACTGAGAACTGAGGATCTCGAGGAGTCGATGTCCGTGTCCTTGCGAAGGCTTGAAACCACCGAAGAGCAGCAAAATGTCGGGGGGGGGGGGGGGGGGGGGCGGGGAATTGTTTGTACAGGACAAGAAAAGAGAACTTTCGGGCATTGCACACGGAGTGGACGTACATGGCGACGATGACACATGGCTGAACGGTGAAACAATTTTGCAGAGTCGCAGCAGGTTTCTTCGATGATAGCTGTAAAAAAACAGAAGAGAAACTTACATGTGGGAGCGCCGTGCTGCGAGTGCCCGTTACACTTGTGTGTGCTGCCTTGCCCGAACCGAACCACGCCGATTAACCAATAACCACCGAGCAATCTTAAACGCGAAAACCGTTCGATGCGATCAAGCGGCCAACGCGAATGTTACAGATTGTTCTGGAACATACGTGGCTGCTAGCGATGACGCTGGAACATTCGACTGCACATGCATAAACGCCGACGCACATTGCCGCTTTTCAATTGTTCGACGGCCGACGCTCCGTTCGCCGCTATCAGTGCCACTGTGCATCACTGTAATCTGACTCTTTGTTTTTTCATTTACAGGCCATTTATTTCGGCTTAATAAACAGCTTGATCTTGGACACAGCGGCTGTTGTCATCGTTAACGTCACGACCCACGTGACCATAGAAACCGGAAATCGCGTATTAATGCAGTAGTGGCTGCACGTGATAACTGAAATCTTTAGGTAGGGGTTCATGTCCAATCAATCACACTTCTTGACGAAAAAAAAGGGCACTTTATGGGCACGTCACGGGTGACTACCTCGGCTACCGTTGTTCACTTGAACTTGAAAGATGTGTGTGATACACAAGAATCACTTGTAACAGTGCACACGAGTATAAGAAAAAAAAAAGGAATGAACTAAGGGCTCATTTTGCTTTGTTAGACATAATGTAACTAATTTTACAGGCATTGAATTGTGAAAGCAAGAATGAAACGAGAAACGTAGGGCATGTTTGTGTCTTCTAGCTGCTTGTAGTGAGGCACTTATGGCACATATAACGATTGTAATGATGTATTGTACACGAAAGTGTAATATGAGCCCAACAGTTGTAATTTCAAGTGCAGAACGCCTTAGGGGCCCGGGCTCTTCTATGCTGCCGTCGTCTCATGCAGCTGGGCGCAACGCTGGCAAAACCACGCAACGGTGTAGCGATCTGTAGCATATAGAGGGCGCTTGTGCTAAGGAGAAGTCTTCTTCTTGGAACGCCTTGGTGATGACATTAGGTGCGTAGGCCTTTAGGTGTCCCCGCTGTCGTATGCCATCGTATTCTGTCGTCGCTTGGTTGGATTCAGGCAGAAACGAAAGAGAGACAGCAAGAGAAAGAAAGAAAAGCAAAATACGACATAAACTAGAAAAAACAATAGAGGAGAGAAAAGGAAAAAAACCAAGAGAAACTCAGGAAGCAATCTTACGATGTGATGAAATATATGACATACATCCCAAATTTAACGGGTTGTGAAAACTTAGCTGCCAGGTCGGCTCCAAAACTCATAATATTGTTATTGTAATATCGCTTATTTCATTCTTTTCTTTCCCACTTTCTTGCTCAATACTTTTGTAAGTTTTCTTTATTTTACCTTATTTTTGTTGATAAGCAATTGTGCTGTTACTATTCACAGACACAGACTACTATATGTTTTCATGGCCAATCTCCCAAAGTGGGTATGTGCCATTGTATCCAGGCAGAAAACAAACAAACAAACAAGAAAGGTTGCCCAGCTCCGTACTTTCTTCAGCCTCGGCACCCGCATTGCAAAACTGTCTCAATTTTTCGCGTAAAAGGCCACTGACGTTTTAGATACGAGAGCACACTCAATGAAAACCATGGAGCAAGAGGACATTGTCCACTCAGGCGAAGCTACCGCCCGTGCCGCCCTATAGTCGAAGCACTCGCAACGCAAGTTCCTGGCCGATGTCTGCAACATCGCTTTCGCCGTCCTTGCGGTCGTTTGACTTCGCGTCCACAATGTAGTGCTGGGCTCGGCCGACTCCTGCTGGAAATGGTCGTTTGTTCTTTCACATCATTGCCCGCATAGCTGGAGAGACAACGCCCGAGTCTCCATCTTCGTCAGTGCGCTTCTTACATTTGACAACGTTACTTTGCGGCTACCATTTGCTTTTTACATTTTCAATTGTTTTTGTAACTATTTTAGCTGTTTTAGTCTTTGCAACGCCGGACCTCAGAAGAACGAGGTTATTTTCGAGTGGCGCAACTGCGCTTTTGGTTATTCTCCGGGTCCGTCAGACTTCTTTTATTAAGGCTTTAAAATGAAAAATGAAGGTGTAGCGTTTGGAACTTTCGATACCCTAATATCTCAAGGACTTTGGTTATTGCAATATTGCCTGAGAAACATATCCGCACTCTTCAAGACGATGAAATTAGTTTGCTTATCTCCACCGACTCTTTCTTTTTTTTAGGCAATGAAACTACTGTCATCAATGTACTTGTCATATCATCCATCCATTTCTTCTTTGTCAGCTTCACTGTCCTGTTAAAATAAAGAAAAACGGCACCCAAATATACACAAGTGGTTTCGCGGTCACCCGCTTAGTGAAAACATGTGCCAGACACTTCTCATATCACTTCAGACGACCGAAACAACTGGACAGTGTGAAACCACACTTGCGAACGAGTAGCCTTGAATATTCAGCCAATGAACTTATTTCACTAAATGCGAAGGAGATTCTGCTTCCTACAATCTGCATGTATAGAAATTAAACTGACTGAGCATCAAGCTTCTTACTTTGTGATTTGTTGTCTCAATTTCACAACAGGAACCAAGTTTTAAAGTTTATGCGGATGTCTTTGGGATAGTTGGTATTGAGTCTCATGCAGATTACAGCCCCCAATTGACTGCGACAGATTACATAAGAAACAGCGCTGTATATGCTTTCTTTATTCTATCCCCATCTGTGCAGGCTATAACCTTTTTTTTTTAGATATAAGAATGATGTGTCCTGTGCACCTGAATCGAAAAATCACAGGATGGTCATAAGAATTCAATGCCAAAAGAAATGCATGAGTCCCAGCCGTCTCAGCCCCTTGAAAGAGAGTTTCTGGCGTGAGTAACTATCTGATGGTCACTCGCAACGATGGCGCAGCGAATTTCCTATTTGTGACCTACTGTCTTGGACTAATGTCGTCCCTATCACATGTGCATTGTGGAGTCTGACTGTGACACATAGGGCCGGCTCGCTTATTATAGTGAAATATAACATTTTCGTCGCATAAAGACAGCCAAAAGCATGTGCATGGTTTTTCAATTGGTGGGAGGAGTGTGTGGGGCATTTGTTTATTGAACTAGGCTTAAGAGAAGCAACCTACGTAATAGAGGCAAAAGTGACAATAAAGCTAAATTACATGCTTTTTCACAACGGGCTGCCTTTATTCTCGCGAGGGCCTGTCAACGCAACGGCCTCCTTCTCACAGCAAGGAAGGTTGTTGAAAGAAGCACGCCATCGTAATACGAGGTGTCATCGGCCTGTATTATCGTGTAAAATGTGCATGGCCGCAAACCTGCACTTCAAGCTGTGATGGGACAGGTCTCATAAAGTGAATGTACGGTGCTTTGTTCACAGCGGTGGCGACGATCTCTTCCAGTGCAGTGCTTAGTCTTCACAGCAAACCTGTTCTTGGTCGAAATTTTTCATGTCCGGGATCCGTGGTAACGCTGGTGGGCATCATGAACGGGTAGACGCCACAGACATTAACTAAATCTCACATCTCACCCCTGGTCCCATAAAAACAAACGCAACAGTTTGCGCCACAACAGGATGCGTGCCACTGAAATCTTTGCGGCCTATCAGAAAACCTGACCGTGTCCGAGTGGGCCTAGCCACGTGACGTCCAGTTAACACGAGCCTATCGTGGAGCAAAAAAAAGTTGTTTACCTCACTCACTTAAAGCCATAAACTCGTATGTGACACAGAACTAGGCTAAATCGCACCACGTGCAACTTTCACTAAAGAAACAAGGAAATTTTTCAAGGGCGAGGCTCCCTAAGGTCGAGGGTTGTCTACTGTCTCCCCATCGTAGTCGCGCTAGTTCTCGACGCTCCAGTTAGAGGCGCAGCTGTTCTGTCGTTTGATTTGAATGACGCCCGCAAGATGGCGAGATGGCGCTAGCTGCTCTCTCGGCGCGTGTTCTAGTTTGGTAGGCGACCGCTAGGGGGCCACGTCTGCATATAGCTCTCGCTCTTGACCCCTTTTTTTCCTCTTTCACTGGTTGTTATTCAGCGCGCTTTGATACTGCTATCCTGTTGCTCTGAACACCGTGTTGACCTTTATTACGAACCAATAAAACAACAATGTATATTCTGCACACACGTGTTGTCACTCATTTTAATACTGCACTGGGCAGTCTACGGGAAAATTCACGGTCTTCCGAACGGTCCCTCAGAGCTTTGCCCACTCATGATTATACACCTCATGGGTATGCTCTGATACTTCTCTTAAAAGCACGGGGCAAACAATGCGCAACCCGTGCGACTGTTAGTGGAGACGGGCCACTGACCCTCCTTCTCTTCCTGCAAGAATGCATATGCTGACAGCGTTCGCAGCAGACACGGGCAGTGGTCACCTAATATCATTTTCGCGCACGTCAAGAGTTGTCAACCGGGGCCGGGTAGCAAACCGGATGTGCGTCTGGTTAACCTCCCTGCCTTTCCTTGCATCTTTATCTCTCTTTCTATCTCAAGTGTTGTCAAAAGACGTAGATTAATGTTTTGCGCATTGGCATGTAGAACATCGCTAAACACTGCACTTTGTTAGCGCCACATTTTTTCATCGAAAAGCGCTCTCATTGTCTTAAAAAATGTCATACAAGACTTTTGTAAGAAGTACTTTTTTATTTCTTAACAACGTTCAACTCACACACAAAAAAAACAGCTGGCAAATAAAACCGGCTTCTCATTTAATGTCCTGGCTCTTTGAACCGAAACGCACACAGATTGTCGAAACCAGCATGAGTATTGAGTCAGACATTGAGTATCACAAAATTTGAAAATATATTATAAGTTGAACCTCGTTTTTCTTGTGGCTGCGTATATATGCATAAGTCCAGCCGACAGACTCCGGTGGATGTTGTTACACCATCCGAGGGCATTCGGAGGGAGCTGGCATTCTGAGAATGAAAGAGACATCAAAGGCAAATTGAATACCACGTCTATTAAGGAATCGCACCAATCGTTTAAAAAATGGCACTTCACTCCGACCTAATAAAGCGTCAACTACTTTTTTCTGTACCTCGTTTTCACCACTGGTGCGTTGAAGAGTAAACATAGTCGAGAAAATACTGCGAGACAGTGAGACCAGATTGGGTAAAGTACCCACGTCATCAAAATCAAATTTTACGGCTGCAAGTCGGCTGAAACCAACCAGCTAGCAGAGCGTACGGCAGAATGGTATATTTGACATCATGCCCACTTTGTTCGATAACTCGTAAAGTAAGTCATAAGGGGTTTATTTTTTATTTTATTCGGTAATCGATCATGATGACCAAACAAAAAATAATATTTACTCGACAAAAATTTGCTATTGAAGCAAAAAGCACCCCTTGATGACGAATTTGTCGCTTTTTGAACACGTTATAACATTTGACTCAATTTTTTCCACATCTTACATTATGTTGAGAAATTAATTGTATGATCGAATGTGTTCACCTGGACTTCTGGTAACTTAGACCATTGTTTCCACAAAATTTTATCAGTCATCACTAGGCGTGGTCAAGAAGGGCCAAACTTAGCGCATTCGTTCATTGAGAGACATCTGTGCTCGCAATACAGAACTACTGTTACTTCACTAGCTTAAGATGTACTTTCCATGACAGTCCACATACATGCAGTGAAGCAGGATATTGCGCTTCTGACAAATATCCCAACATTTATAAGTGCCCTCTAAATCACACTTATGCTTATCTAAACAAGGGCACGCACAGCAAAGGTGGTCCCGATAGAATAAATCAATAGGCAACAGACCACCGAAGATCGACATCAAAACTTCCGACGACGAGACACAAAGTAAGCAGAACGTGAGCATTAATCTTCCCTCATAATGAATCTTCCCTCATAATGAAAGATAAAAAAACAAATTACTATCAATTTTTCAGGCCTCAATAATTTTAAAGTTATTTACTACACTACAGTAACACCACCACTATTCCCGAGACATGTGCAACTGCAGTCAATCACATGCCAACCAAAGCAAAATTCTGGCACGACCACTTAGACCAATTATTATCATTACGCACTCAATCGATACACCCGAATGATCTCGTGTAGTCATCACATCGTGAGCAAGACTTACCACCACTTGGCGGCATGGCCATAAGTAACTCCGAGACTTCCGAGGGCAGCTCCGTGGCCAAATCCATATCCGGCGCCGTAGCCAACCCCATAACCACCGTGACCGCCAACAACAGCGAGCTTGCTAAGACCAGCGCCGTAGCCGAGACCGTATCCAGCACCGAATCCACTGTAGCCACCACCAACAAGACCCAGACCACCAAGACCACCTCCAATGGACACAGCTGGGGCAGCAGCAACGGTAGCCACAGCCGGGGCAGCAGCAACGGTAGCCACAGCTGGGGTGGCAGCAACGGTAGCCACAGCCGGGGCGGCAGCAACGGTAGCCACAGCCGGGGCAGCAGCAACGGTAGCCACAGCCGGGGCAGCAGCAATGGTAGCCACAGCCGGGGCAGCAACGGCGATGGGACGGGCCACGGCCACTGGACGAGCCACAGCCACTGGACGAGCCACAGCCACAGGGCGAGCCACAGTCACGGCTGGAGCTACGGCGATGGCGGGACGAGCGATGGCGATGGCGGGACGAGCGACAGCGATGGCTGGACGAGCGACAGCGATGGCGGGACGAGCGACGGCGACGCCGTATCCAGCACCGGCTCCGAGGCCACCAAGACCGAGTCCTCCACCGTAGCCGAGGCCGGCCCCGGAGAACAGACCGATGCTACTGCCGGCGAGACCACCAGTCACGCCTCCGGAAAGAATGGCGGCACCTCCCGCACTGTTGCCATAGGACGTACTGCGCACTGAAACAGCTGGAGCCGCTGCAACAGCAGCTGGAGCCGCTGCGACAGCAACTGGAGCAGCAGCAACGGCGGCGCCTCCGATACCAGCACCGTAGCCGCCAGCGTAGCCAGCACCACCACTGATGGCACCAAGACCACTGCCGTAGCCACTGTAGCCCCCGATGAAGCCGGCGGAGGCGGCCGAGAAAAGCGCGAATAGAATGGTGGAGAGCTGCGTGACATAGAGCCGGGTGCGGACCGGTATAATTATTTATGTCAGAGAATTTCGGAGTCGCAGACAGCGCAGAACACACTCTTTATGCACGTTTCTCTTTTAGTGCATGAGGGGTTTATGCGACGTAGATGAGGAATAATGCGCGTAAAAAAGCGCATCTATATGGACTTAGTGATTAGGAAGCTGGGCTCGTCCAATATTTAAGCAATATTTAGTTCCGTTTTCCTTGGCTTCAAATCCAGCCTGTTGCGATATAGCTATTAAAATGTATGCAACTATCTGCGTCCTAGTGAACGTGTCCTGCAGTATTTTCGTATATAGATATGAACACTGGGGCTCTGGTCACCCTCTAAAACAGTCACAGAACACTCGTATTCTTTGTGACGCTTTCGTCCCGTCCTTATACGTTAATGCAGTAAAGGTTGCAGTGTAACGTTTTAGAGAATTAGCTGATGCAAATATAGGGCCTGCGCAATACCTCAACGTTCGGAGTAGGTGACATCGCTGCTAGCACTGACATTTTTACAACGTCTGTATGGTCATATAGTGCGTCAGGTCTCTTTACAGAAACGCTTTGCTACTGTGACAACACCGTCATTAATTTTCCGGATGTCCTCTTAACCACAACCGTGACCCTCTAGGCCATAACACACAGAACTGCCACTGTCGCGAAGATTGAATGTGAAGCCCACCAATGTGGCCTGAAAAGGTGTCCTGAACTTGTGTCAGTTCCATAAACACCATTTTTCCCGTCTCCCTCATTTTTCGCAGCACAAACAACTTTCGTATTACACGCACCCAAGTGGGTTCTCACTGTGCTCTTGGTTGCTTCAGCAACTTAGGTGATAATCGGCGCCGAGTTTAATAAATGTATGCTCCAGTTTAAAATATGAAACGATACTGAACTAGTTTACCAAGTAAATACAGCAACCATGAAAGCTCTGCCTGTTGATACAAGTCTGTCTTTATGAACAGCCCGAAAACCGAGACGCAGTGCGAGATGAAGGAACACAAGGCCAAACACAAGCGCTGATTCAATAGCAATTGCTGAGAAGCGCATATTCCTGATTATGGACGAATATCACTAGCAATCAACTATTTACTCTGCCTGTATGCCACATTTGCCTTATCAAAATGCTAATATCTATTCGCGGTGCAGAATCCGTGGAATCGCAACTGGCAGTTCAATAAAAAGCAAATACAATTAAGGCTGTTCTGTTGTATGTATTATAACAACTCGTTTATACATGCACGTACTACATAAGCATAATGCAGTGTGCATTTGACACACGGTGAAGTATTTACTACTTCATACTTTGTCCAGGAACACGTACCCGGGGTGATTACTTAATATAGCCAACTCAGTTATTCACGCTTCACGATAGAAATTTGCATTTAGCAAGGTTTTCTTGCAAACCAAACGTGCCCTATTAACCAAAGTTGGCAGCCTGGCACATCATCTACGTTTGCCGCCTTCTTCGCTAGTTTATCTCAACGATGCCACACAGGCTTCCACTCTGAACCATCGCCTGTGATATTACGTACCCAAAGAGTTATCCAAAGATCTAGCGTCAAACGTCATTTAAAGGTATTGGTATTTAATCCACACATTTAACAATCGTATTTCGTCGCTTGATATAACAGTATGAGTTTAAGAACTGTTTCAAAGGTTCCAAACATTCGTTGAAGTTTCCCTCTTCCTTACAAATGGGCACATCAAATACGGCTATATCGAATTCAGCAACTACATACTTTCCAGGCATCGGAAGTTTACCATTCGCTAGAGTGAAGTTTTAGCAAAGAGCCGTGGGGAACGCATTCATACTAATGTAAACCTACTGATTTTGCTTTGATGAGGGTCATATCTTACAACATCAACTAAGTTGTTCCCCCCGCTACCAGTCATTCAGGCCTGATTCACTCATGTAGTTGCTAAACTTAGTTTTTCTGTAGCTCTCACGATACACATGCAGTTCAAACGCGGAGGAGTATACTGAGAAGTATAGAAGCGAAATTTCACCAGAGTGTGTACGAGAGAGGGGAAGGAGGAAAGAGAGTGCTATTTGCAGAACAGGGGGTCAAAGATGGAGTAACGCCGACAAGCCTCTCTGGGTGTGGTACTTAGTCCTAGGAAGTTAATTGGCCGTAGATCCGCAAACGGTGCTCCCGCCATACTCACAGCGGCGTTCATGATGATCACAGGAGGCTGGTTAGATCCAGTACAAGGAGAGAGTCTTCGACGATCACAAGAACCAGGACGAAGTAAGACTGGGTTGGTCCGAATCATAGGCGAGGCTTTTATACTCGAACCAGGGCGCTGCGTCATCCGCAGTGACAAATACGGCGAATCATTAAAGCACAAAAACAGGACGCAGCCAATGGTCCGCTCGAAGTATCGCTTTGCTTGGCTATTCAAGAGAGAGGAGGCTGTGGTGAATTGTGTGAGGAGAACTTACGTTCTTACGTACGGGCATCCACGTATGCAGTGACCGCATCAAAAGATACAAGCACTGCCCCGGAAATTCCCGCCTGAGGCCTCAACCTGCGCTGAATCTCCTTCTCCCCCTTCGTCTGCATAGGGTGGCCCGAAGCGTCCGCTTCTGTCAAAAAAAAAAAAGAAGCGAAAGGCTAACGGAACATTCATTAAAAAGACACGTGCGATAAAGATACACAGAAACCTCATCGCATAGCGCCTGTAACCCGCCCTTCCTGTGAAGCGGCGTCCGTAGCCTATAACACTTTCTCACGCACTCTCTCTCTACGGGATGGTTCGAGATGGTGGGAGAGGCGTGCACTGCAGGGACCGTCCGCCGCGTCCTGCATCCTGGACCAAGGTTGTTCGGCGAGACAGAGATCGCTGCCAAACTAGGACGGCAGCTCGTGGTCACCGAAGAGCGTGCGTTGGTTGGGTAAACGCGGTGGTTCAATGCTTGTCGAACGCTTGTTTTAATTATGCACGAGCCCTTTTCACCCACCCCCCACCCCCCACTTATCTCACCTCGCCTTCGATGCCTTCGAGTGGTGGGCTTGAATTCACCCGGGGAGAGGTGCGTACGAGACTGCTCATACTGGGCTCACAATCTAATACTTCAATCGTAATTGCTGATAGTGGAGTGGTCCCTATTGGCTCACTCCAGGTTTTAAAAATCGATGGGAGAGGTCTTAGATGGTCTTCTAGCCTCTCCTACCTCAAGATGCATGTACTATGCAAAGAAGCAAGCAAGCAAGATAACACGTCTCCGATTCCCCCGAGTCGTGTTCGGCGCAATGCATGCGATTGTAATTCAAGGCTGTGAACACTTATTACTTTTACATATCAAACAGCCCGGCCAATTATATTTTGGACTCTTTGAACTTATCTGAAGAGATAGGCGCCGTTACGTGTCGTCGAAGATTAGCCGAGAAATAACCAGGACACGTGTAGGCATTAACGGCGTAACTGTTTTTTCTTCGAGGTTAATCTCTATCTTTGGAGAGGGTTACATGTTATTCTGGTGTATTGTCTTATTATCTTCGGTACACAACTGCCGGTCAGTAGCAATTACGATGCTCGGTGGAGATTGCATTAAGGTTGAGGTGGAATAATGCATCCCAGTGTAATGTGTGATGTTAGTGCCCGTTTAAGAACATCATAGATAGTGAAAGTTTCAGGAGCCCTATCTCTTATAATCATATTGTTGTTTTGGGACCTAATAACCCCGATATTGTCATTATTTGTTAAGTGCAAGAGTATAAAATGTTTCCTTAGTCCACCGACCACCGCTTGAAAATCCCCGCTAGAAAGTAAATCTTTTACGATTTGTTCAGAATATACCCTTCTTGTAGTTTTTTGTGAGGTCTTTGAAAAGGCGCTTTAGGAGGGAGTAGACTGTATATATTTAAGGGATCGCTAAGACCCCACATCAGCAACCCTGCTCCGTTATCTTCCGTACGGAAACTTGTTGCACAGAGGTCAAGCAGTTTCTGTGTTGTAGGCGTGATTCCTACGGGCCCGCCACGCCAGTGACATTTGAGCACCCGATGATTCAAAAGTGCCTCAAAAACGATTAAATTTGCGATTGGTTGGAAAGGCGTCTATGTTAAAATCACATATTATTGTTGCTTCAAGTGTGAGTAGGGTGCGTCGTTCAAATATTTTTTTCAGTAAATTCGAAAGACATGCAGAGCGAACCTGAAGGCAGACGAGAGACAAGAGCAATCAGTGCTTTCATACACTGAATACCAATTCATTTCTAGGATTCACATAGCAGCTTTATGATCAGGAATTATACCATAGAACAAATCAGAACGTACATAAACAGCAATGCTCCTACAACGTTTAGGATGGGCAGACACGCAGTCATATCCAGAATTATATACTTAGAAATTTTGGCGCAACCTCGACTCACGCAAACACTCACACAAGCACACACACTTACACCAGAGCAACACACACGACACGCAGCGCTGCGTGTCGTGTGTGTTGCTCTGGTGTAAGTGTGTGTGCTTGTGTGAGTGTTTGCGTGAGTCGAGGTTGCGCCAAAATTTCTAAGTATATGATGTATAACCAACTAGCCCAACAACAAGTTTTATTAAAATATCCAGAATTTACAACACATTCATCCTCTGATGTACGCCACGTTTCACTAAAGCGAAGAGGTGTTTTAGATCTGATAGACATAAATTATCATGATCAAATCTTTTAAAACTCTTATAATTTATATAAAAATTAGAAAGAGGCTACTGGTTTCTTGATGTCACGACATCACGAGAAAATTTGAACTGCAGGGTTGCCATCTTGGTTTAGTAAACTCCATGCCCCCCTTTTTGCCATCGCATTTCACGCTATCTCTTCATGGTCACCAGAGTGGCAAAGTCACCCTCACTGTTACCGCGCTTTTTGTGAACCAGAAATTTTCCATCTAAATGCCACACATAAGCGTATACTGAAGCCTGAGCCCACTTGTTTGTCTTTGATATGACAGCGCGTGATATCTGTGTGATGTCGTCCTAGCAAAAAAAAAAAAAGATGTCCGATGTCCTTTAGTTGCTTTTTATTTTCAAGCTAGGTGTCGCAAAGTCTTTGGCGTACAAAACGGGTAATGATGACACGTGCTTTGCCTGGATTAGCCGGAAGCCTGTGCATACCACAACGTCACTTGTTCAAGAGTGGGAGATTAATATGAACCTCTATTTCATTACTTTCGCCGTTAGGTCTTTCTTATCGCTTATGGATGCACAGGTGTTTTAATATTTCACCTACGATTACGGCATTTCTGGCTGTCCAGATTCAGTTTGATCTGAGCCAATTCATTGCTCGAATCGGTGCGTTCAAGTGTGTCGACTGTATTCAATAGCTCCAAAGTAGCTTTTCCTTGTATCTGCAGCTTCATCTTAAAAAATGGAATTGTCAGAAAGATGTTGAACAGATTATTCCAGCCCGACTAGTCTCGTTGGCAAGACAAAAAACAAAAAACATCAAGCCTCCGCGGAAGGCGCAGCACAGTCACAGAGAAAGCATGAAGGGCGGCCTTTCAGAGGCTTTTCTAAACATTCTTTAGGTAAATGCTACAAGCACGTTTGCTGGGTACCCACTACAACATAAATAATTATGTTCTCTTGATAGCAGCCCGGAATTCACTATGCTATCTTTCGTCATTCTTCGGTGAAGCGTGGTATACACTAAACACTTAGTAGAAATTTTGTGTTTCTTTCAGTGGCTGACGTTGATGAAGAAGTAAGCCCAGAGTGCGGATGTGCCACAGTTTAGAGTTGACGAAGAACAAGCTTTTTAATGGGTTGGAGCATTGGACGACCCACTTGTTACGCGATTCGCATTTTGTGACGCCTGGTTTTTTTTTTTTTGCTGTTTTAAAACGATTTATTGCTCATATTAACGTGATCCCTTTACCAAAATCAAGGCAAATTTGCGAACGAATCCCAAAACTCGGCGTGGCTCAGCGGTAAAATACTGGCCTGGCACGCAGTGGACCCGAGTTCCAATCTTACTATGTCACCACATGTCTTGAGTGTTTCTTAGTTGAGTGTTTTTTTTTTATTTTCTGCGATAGTGGTTACGGACACCGGCGGTAGCGGCTGTGGTAGACAACTGTGGCGCTGCACGTGACTCGTGTTGTGATCTCACAACAGCTTTCACTGTAAAAGGCATCAAGCTTAGCTTCGACCGACATTGGGCGAGTAGACAATTCAGTGGGGGGCGTTAAACGGGTTGTTCCAGTATCCGCCCCCTGCACCCCCCCCCCCAATTCCCAGACATCGACATTTCCATTATTTCATAGCGCTATCGCGCTTTCCAGTGAATGCTTCTTCAGCTAAACCGGAGCAAGAACTGAAATGAAACTTGAATTTACACTCACAAGTGACGTAGTGTGGCGATCAGAAGTTTCGAAACCATGGGAGCGCGTGGCGAACAGCACCAAGGCGCCTTCTGACAGCTATCAGAGAAGCTAGTGCCAGTGCTTGGTGCGCGCCGCTTCGTTGCCTTCGTTCCAAACGTTCCATGGCAGCGAAAACAATTTTGCTTCGCCAAAATACAGCATTGCTCAGTAATCGTTTGACATGTGTTGATTACAAAAAGAGACAAGAACACTGACGCTACGTGCGCGTTTTCGTTTCCGTGGAGAGTGTGGAACGAAAGCCCAGAAGCAGCACACTCAGAGCACTGCCACTACAAGTTACACATTTTTGTCGCGATATGATCGCTAGGTGCTGCCACCATAGAGTATTATAAAAGGTTAAGAAAGGACACTTCCATAGGCCCCTACGGGGAATTAGGGTTTGCAGCGCACCAAACGGGTGTGGGGAAACTTTGCAACCTCAGAGATGCCCGACCACAGATAAGACTGTCTCGAAGGCCATTTTGTAGTGACTAATAATATTATACAACCTCCAAGACCACTTCTACGCGTGTGCTCATCTTTGAGGCCATATTTTTTTTTAAACCGTCGTTTGCCTGCATCGATGAGCTTTGTGTAAGCTGCACCACTAGAGCGGCAAGCACACTATGCCAATGTGCGTCTATGGACAAGTTTTAATGAAAACATGAGAATCATTGCAGGTGTGACAACGTTTATTGTCAAGTGAGATTCTTGGTAAGCGCATGCCCGCTTTGTTGATGTTTGATAAACGCAGTCACAAAGAGAGGTTCATTGCACTTCGAGACGCGAAAATACAGGTGCCATACTATGAATATAAATTGCACACAAGAATTAAACATATAGGCAACAGCATAAGAAGGACCGCACTCAACTACACGTACAGTGCCCAACGCAACGCGGGCAGTAGTTGCTATAAGCACTTCACTCTGGCATGAACCGAAAAAAAAAAAAGAAAAATTGTCGGCTATGTTGTCTTTCTCACCTTCGCACTAATTTTCTCCAACACATTTTACATCGCTCTTTCGCCAAAAACAGTCACAAGCAGTTGTCGCAGCAAAAACAAAGTAATTTTAGGTGTAATGCAAGCCGTTAACGAGGCAGGAGTGTGTACTCAAAGATTAAGTCCTAGCTTTAGCTAGCAAACATTTTTCTAGATTGACGACTTCTGCCCCGCCGCGGTGGTCTAGTGGCTAAGATACTCGGCTGCTGACCCGCAGGTCACGGGTTCGATTCCCGGCTGCGGCGGCTGCATTTCCGATGGAGGCGGAAATGTTGTAGGCCCGTGTGCTCAGATTTGGGCGCACGTTAAAGAACCCCAGGTGGTCTAAATTTCCGGAGCCCTCCACTACGGCGTCTCTCATAATCATATAGTGGTTTTGGGACGTTAAACCCCACAAATCAATCAATCAATCAACGACTTCTTTCTTATCGCGCTCGTTAGAGCTTCAAGCAATTCGCTAACGGCACAGATAACGATACTGAGCAAAGCTGCACTTAAAGAAAAATTCTCACTCATGCAGTGAATTCAAATACATTTAGCGGCACAAATAAAGGCTAACAACGCGAGCAGTGACTCAATTTTGGCGAGCCAAGACAGAATTTTCTCACAAACGTGCTGCGAAGCATTCCAAACAATTTTCTTTCGTGTGAAGCAGTCCACAAAAGCAGTACGCGAAGTGAAGAGCACAAAAAAAGGTCTCTGCGCCGAACAGCAATTTGCCAGAAACCTTAGGTTAAGTCTTCATCAACAATAGAAATAGGCACTTAACAAAGTAGTGATGGCGTTCGGTCGTACCTTGCAGCAGCCAAGCGGAGAGGCAGACGAAACAAGCGAAGACCACGACGCACACCGGGCACGTGATCACACATCTTTTGTGGCATCTCGCTGCAGCTGCCCGTACTTCATCATTGCCGTAAATGCTCATGAACGCGGGGCGTGACAACGTTGCCGTCGCGTCGCCGCCATGTGCACTTCTCTCGCGTCCGATTCATGCCTGATCCCAGCCCGACGATATCGCACCGTAACAACGCAGACGATAAAGATGGATTCAGGCGACTATCACAATCGCGAAAACACGTAGACGTATAGTGCACTAGAAAAGGTACTGTAGTAAATAACAAGTAAACACGTTCCCATGAAGCAGTGAGTGATGTGTTGCCATCTTACGGCTGGGGTGAAACTGCGTATACCTCAGCCACTCTTTGGCCCGAGTGACCACTTTTGTAATTCTTATGTTACTCTAAGCTACCCCGGCGACGTTGAAAGGGACACCTTGCGATTTTTCTGGCTTGAATATAGTTCAAGGAATAAAAAACGTTGCCTGGTAGTTATAAAGAGGTGCTTGCGCAGCGCGCGCTTTCAAGCTTCTCTGGCAGCCGTGAGAAGGCGCCGCAGGACTGCTGGCTACGCGCTCTCTTGGTCTCCAAAATTTCGATCGCCGCAGTATTTATGTACAATTCACTATTGATTCCGGCTGATCTGTACACACAACACCACTATATTTAAACACCCAACAAAGATATTCGCCGCTGTAGCAGGTTTGACAGCAGAGGCAGGTACATGAAAGAAATATCGGTAGAACCCACCAGCCAATAAAACACATAACCACCTCTGTGAAACAGTCGCTAAGGTGCTCAGCGGCTGGCACAAAGTCACAGGTTTGATTTCGGCTGTGGCCGTCTAATTCGACGGAGGCGAAATCACACAGAGGCCCGTGTGTGTTGTGCGTCGTAGGTGCACGTCAAAGAACACCAGATGGCCGAAATTTGCGGAGCCCTCCTCTACGGTGTCTCTCATAGTCATATGGTGGTTTTGGAACGTTAAACTCTAGGTAATAATGTTAAAACACAGAAGCAAAGGTTTAAATTTGCTGTCCGTATGTCTCTGCCGCCACTGCTTGTATGACGATGCACGCCTCCTAGTTTTCTTGGTCCCTCCGGTGTCGTTGCTGGCCCTGATGTCATACAAGATTGTAGGGCCTTGATTAACTTCGGTGAGAATATGATATGGAAAGGGCATGGGCCAGAAGTTTTTTGCATTACCCTGGAGTGCAGAGTCGCAGCAGATTCGTTCAATGCGAGTTGTAAAACACAGAAGCGAAACTTACATGTGGCCCCGCCGCGGTGGTCTAGTGGCTAAGGTACTCGGCTGCTGACCCGCAGGTTGCGGGCTCGATTCCCGGCTGCGGCGGCTGCATTTCCGGTGGAGGCGGAAATGTTGTAGGCCCGTGTGCTCAGATTTGGGTGCACGTTAAAGAACCCCAGGTGGTCGAAATTTCCGGAGCCCTCCACTACGGCGTCTCTCATAATTATAGTGTCGTTTTGGGACGTTAAACCCCACAAATCAATCAATCAAATCAAACTTACCTGTGGGAGTTTCGCGCTGTGAGTACCCATTACACGTATGTGTGCTGCCTTCCCCGAACCGCGCCGACTTACCAAGAGGCACCGCCTAATCTTAAAGGTTAAAACCTTTCGATGCGATTACGAGCCCAACGGGAGCCTTACAGATTGTTCTGAAACATACTTGGCTGCTAGCGATAACGCCGGAACATTCGACGGCAATTGTATAAATGCCGACGCACATCGTCGCTCGTCAGTTGTTCGACGGCCGACGCCACGTTCGAAGCTATCAGCACCAGTGTGCATTGCGGCAGTGGGATTGTCCGCTTACCGGCCATCTAGTTCGGCTTCATAAACAGTTCGATCCTGGGCATAGCGGCTGCTGTCTTCGTTAACGCCACGACCCACGTGACAATGTAAAGCGGGAATCGCGGAATAACGCAGTTGCTGTTGTACGTGGAAACTGAAAGATTCAGGTGAGGGCTCACGTTCAACGAAGCCCACTTCATGACAAAAAAACAAAACAAAAAGAAATATATTACAGAAACGTTTGAAACTTTCGTGACCTCCTCGACTTCAGTGTTTCACTTGAACTTGCAAGACACGTGTGATACCGAAGAATCACTTATAACAGTGCACATGAGTATAAGAAAACAAAAGGAATGAACCAAGGGCTTATTTCGCTTTGTTAAACGTAATATATACTAAACTTACAGGCAATAAAGTGTGAAAGGCAACAATGACAAGAGAAACATAAGGCATGTTTGTAGCTTCAAGCTGCTTGTAGTAAAGCACTTATTCCACATATAATGATTCTTATGATGTATTGTACACGAAAGTCTAATATTAGCCCAACAGTTGTAATTTAAAGTGCGGAACACCTCAGGGGCCCAGGCTATTCCATGCTGTCTTCGTCTCATGCAGCTGGACGTAACGCTGGCAAAAACACGATTACAGCGTAGCGATCTGTAGCATATAGAGGGCGTTGATGCTAAGGAGACTTCGTTTTCTTCTTCGAACGCCTTGGTGTTGACAATATGTGCGGAGCCCTTTTGGTGCTCCCCTTGTCCTATGCCGTCGTGTGCGGTCGCCGCTTGGTTTAATTTACGCAGAAACAAGGGAGAAATGGCGGGAGAAATGAAGAAACTAAAAAAAACGTTGAAAACTGCAAGCATGCATATGATGGCGGCGTTCTCTGTAAACACTGGCAGCTGTCACCTGAAATCGTTTTAACGCTTTTCAAGCGTTGTCGAAACCCGTAGAATTAAATTATTGCGTGTTCGAATGTGACCACTTCGCTAAACACCGCACTCTGTTAGCGCCACATTTCTTAAAAAGAAAAACGCTCTCATAGTTTTCGAAATAATGTGAAGAAAGACTTCTGTAACAAGTATTTTTATTATTTCTTAACAATGTTCAACTAACAAAACAGCCGGGTAATAAAAACAGCCCCTTATTTAAAATTCCAAACTTTTTAAACGCAAACACAGGGAGATTGTCAAAACCAGCGTGAATAATGAGTTCAGACATTGTGGATTACGAAAATTGAAAATAATTATCAATTGAAGCTCGTTTTTCTTGCGGCTGCGTATGTATGCACAAGTTTAGCTGAAAGACTCCGGTGCATGTTGTTGCAGCGTCCGAGGACACTCGGAGGGAGCCGGCATTCTGAAAATGAAAGGGACATGAAATGCGTATTGATAAAATGCACAATAATCAGATGCACTAACCATGCAGAAAATGGCACCTCGCTCTGAACTAATAAAGCGTCAACTTCTCTTTGCTTTAGCTCATTGTTGCCACTGGTCCGTTGAAGAATAAGCATAGTCGAGAAAATACTCCAAGACATAGAGACCACATTGCATAAAGTGCCTGTGCCATCGAAATCGAATTTCACGGGTACAAGTCGGTTGAAACCAAACAGCCAGAAGAGCGTACCGCAGAAAAATCTATTTTACATTATGCCCACATTGTTCAATAACTCGTAAGGTAAAGCATGAGGTGTTCATTTTTTATTTAATTTGGTATTTCATCATTTCACCTAAGAAATGAAAATAATTACGAGCAAAAACTTCGCTATTGAAGCGAGAAACACACCTTGGCGCATGAATATGTCCCCTTTTTTAATATGTCATAACTTTAACCCAAGTTTTCCGCATATTACGTAAAGTGTAGCAAATCAGTTATGTGTTCAAATGTGTTCACCTCGACTTCTGGCAAAGTAGAGCGTTATTCCCGAAATTCTACAAAGCAACACTCCGCGAGGTCAAGAAGTGAAGTACACTGCGCACTCTTTGTATAATGCGAGGCAACTCTGCTCGCAGTACAGAGCTGCTGTTATTTCACTAGCTTAAGATGTACTTGCCAAAGCGGGCCACGTACATGCTGTGAAGCAATGTATTTTGCTTCTTATGGACATTCTAACATTAAAAGTACCCTTTCAATAGCATTTATAATAATCTAAACAAGGACACGCACAGCAAAAGGGGGTTCTAGTGGAATCAATTCATAGACATCAGACCACTGAATAGCCACACCGAAATTTCCTACGACGACACACAAATTAAACAACACATACGCAGTAATAAACTCTGGTAATGACAGTACTAGCATCGGTAAAAGATACGAAAACAATAACTTATCAACTTGTCAGGCCTGAATAATCTTATAGATTTTATTAACATCCATTAACACCGCCACTATTTTCGAGACACGTGCAACTGCAGTCAAATCACTTGCCAACTAAAGCAAATTTCTCGCGCTACCACTTAGACCAATTATTACGATATCGCGCTCTATAGATAGACCCAAATGATCTCGTGTTAGCCATCACATTGTGAGCAAAACTTACCACCACTTGGCGGCATGGCCATAAGTAACTCCGAGCCTGCCGAGGCCAGCGCCATGGCCAAATCCGTATCCGCCACCGTAGGCACCCCCATAGCCGCCGTGACCTCCAACAACAGCGAGCCTAGTGAGACCAGCGCCATAGCCGAGACCGTATCCAGCACCGTATGCACCGTAGCCACCGCCCACAAGACCCAGGCCACCAAGACCACCTCCGACGGCAACAGCTGGCGCCGCAGCAACGGTAGCCACAGCCGGGGCAGCAGCAACGGTAGCCACAGCCGGGGCAGCAGCAACAGTAGCCACAGCCGGGGCAGCAACGGCGATGGGACGAGCCACGGCCACTGGACGAGCCACAGCCACTGGACGAGCCACTGCCACAGGACGAGCCACAGCCACGGCTGGAGCTACAGCGATGGCGGGACGAGCAACGGCGATGGCGGGACGAGCAACGGCGACGCCGTATCCAGCACCGCCTCCGAGACCACCGAGACCGAGTCCTCCACCGTAGCCGAGGCCGGCCCCAGAGAATAGACCGACGCTACTGCCGGCGAGACCACCAGCCGCGCCCCCGGAAAGAATGGCGGCGCCTCCCGCACTGTTGCCATAGGACGTGCTGCGCACTGAAACAGCTGGAGCGGCTGCGACAGCAACTGGAGCAGCAGCAACAGCGCCTCCGATACCAGCGCCGTAGCCGCCAGCGTAGCCAGCACCACCACTGATGGCACCAAGACCACCGCCGTAGCCACTGTAGCCCCCGATGAAGCCAGCGGAGGCGGCCGAGAACAGCGCGAATAGAACGGTGGAGAGCTGCGTGGTACAGAGCCGGTGCGGACAAGTAGACCTTTGTCAGAGAACTGTGAAGTCGCAGACAGCGCAAAACACACTCTTCAGGCACGTTTCCTTCTGAGTGCATGAGAATTTTATGCGACGTAGATGAGGAATAACGCGCGCAAAAAAGCGCATTCATGTGGGCTCAGTGCTTGACCATACAGCAGGGCTTCTGGAAGCTGGACTCGTCCGTTATGCAAGTAGTATTCTTTTTCTATTGGCTCGGCTTCAAGTCCAGCATGTTAAGATATAGTCATTAAAATGTATGCAACTGTCTGCGCCCTAATGAACGTGTCCTGCAGTATTTTCGTAGACACATAGATATGAATGCTGGGGTTCTGGTCACTATCTAAAACCGTCACAGAACACTCGTTTTCTTTGGGATGCTTTCGTCCCATCCTTATACGTTAATGCAAGAAAGGTTGCAGTGTAACGATTACGAGAATCAGCTGATGCAAATATGAGGCCTGTGCGGTACCTCAACTGCCGGAGTAGGTGAGATTGCTCCAAGCACTCATATTTCTACGCCATCTGTAATGTCACATAGAGGGTCGAATTTCTTTACAGAAACGCTCTGCTGCGACAACCACCTAATTGATTTTCTGGATGTCTAATTAACTACAACCGCGACCCTCTAAGCCGTAATAGACAGAACTGCCACTGTCACGAAGATTCGATGTGAAGGCGACCGATGTGGCCTGAAAAAGTGTCCTGTAGTTATTTATGTTCCATAAACATAATATTCCCTCATTTCTCACAATACAAACGTTTTCCATATTACACGTACTCAAGTGGGTTCTCTCTCAGTACTCTTGATTACTTAGGGACCTTGAGTGAGGATTAGCGATATATAAATGTATGCGTTAATTTAAATTGTGAAACGATACTGAACTAGTTTACCAACAAATTTGACAACATAATAAGCAATCTTTGTAAGCTGAGCCTTTTGATGTGAATCAGTCGTGATGAACAGCCCGGCAACTTAAACGCAGCCCGAGATTAAGGAAAACATGCCCAAATACAAACGCTGATTTAATATCAGTTGCTGATAAGCGCATATTCCCAATTATGGTGCCCATCATGTTCGGTTGGTATGTATCATAGCAAGCTGTTTACACATGTACGTACTTCATAAGTATAATGTAGTATGCATTTGGCGCACACTGAAGTATGCACTACCTCATACTTTGTCCATAAACGTGCACCTATGGTGATTTCTTAATAGGGCCGACTCAGTTATTTACACTTTACGATTGACATTGTCAATAAGCACAGTTTTTGCGCAAACTAAACGCCCTCATTAGCGAACGTTGTCAGTCTGGTTGCGTTGGTAGTTGGCAGCGAATGTTGCCTGCTTCACTGGTTTTTCTCAACAAAGCCACACAGGCTTTTATTCTGAAACATCGACTGTGACATAACCAACCTAAACAGTTTTCCTAGAGATCTAACCTCAAACATTGTTTAAACATTTTGATCTTTAATTCACACATTAACCATCGTATTTTGTCGCTTGATCTCACGGTATGAGTTCAAGAACTGTTTAAAAGGTTCTAAACATTCGTTGAAGTTTCCCTCTTCCCTACTAATGGGCACATCAAATACGGCTATACCGAATTCAGCAACTGCACACTTCCCTAACATCGGCAATTTACCATTCGTTAGAAGCAATTTTGAGCGAAGGGCACCTGTGGAATACATTTACACTAGTAATCATATAAAACTACAAAATTTTGCTTTAGTGAGGGCTATTTCCTTCAACACCAACTAAATTAGCTACCGGTCATTGGACCTTATTGACTCATGTACTTGATAAACTTAGCTCCACGCGTAGGTGTAGCTCTCACGATTCACATGCAGTTCAATCGCGGAGGAGTGTACTGAGAAGTATATATAAGCGAAATTCCACCAGAGTGAGTACGAGAGAGGGAAAGGAGAAAACACAGCGCTATTTGCAGAACAGGGGTCAAAGATCGAGTAGTGCCGACTAGTCTCTCTGGGTGTGGTACTTAGTCCTAAGGAGTTATTTGGCCGTAGATACGCATATGGTGTTCCCGACTTCATGCGAGCCTCGGATATACTCACAACGGCGTTCATGATGATCGCAGGAGGCTGGTTAGATCCACTGCAAGGTTGAGATTCTTCGACGATCACAAGAACCAGGACGAAGTAAGACTGGGTTGGTCCGATGCAGAGGCGAGGCTTTTATACTCGAACCGGGGCGCTGCGCCATCCACGGTGACAGATACGGCGAATCGTTAAACCAGAAAAATAAAACACGACCAATGGTCGGCTCGAAGTATCGCTTCGCTTGGCTATTCGCGGGAGAGGAGGTTGCGGCGAATCGTGTACGGAGAGCTTACGTTCTTATGGGCATCCACGCATGTGGCGACCGCATCACAAGATGCAAGTACTGCCCCGGAAATCCCCGCCCGAGGCCTCAACCTGCGCTGAATCTCCTTCTCCCCTTTCGTTTGCATAGGGCGGCCCGAAGCGTCCGCTTGCGTCACAAAATAAAGAAGCGAGAACCGAACGCAACATTTATTACAGAGACACCTGAAATAAAGATACACAGAAACCTCATCGCATAGCGCCTGTAAGACGCCCTCCTGTGCAGCGGTTTCCGTTGCCTCTAACACTTTCTCACTCCCTCGCTCTCTACGGGATGGTACGAGATGGTGGGAGAGGCTCTGCGGGGACCGTCCGCCGCGTCCTTAGAGTGTACTAGCGTCCTGCATCCTGGACCAAGGTTGTTCGGCGAGACAGAGATCGCTGCCAAACTAGGACGGCAGCTCGTGGTCACCAAAGAGCGTGCGTTGGTTGGGTAAACGCGGTGGTTCAATGCTTGTCGAACGCTTGTTTTAATTATGCACGAGCCCTTTTCACCCACCCACCACCCCCTGCTTGTCTCACCTCGCCTTCGATGCCTCCGAGGGCTGGGCTTGAATTCACCCGGGGAGAGGGAGTATGTGGCTGCTTATACTGGGCTCGCAATATAATCCTTCAATCGTAATTGCTGATAGTGGAGTGGTCTCTATTGGCTCACTCAGGGTTAACGAAATCGACGGGAGAAGTTTGAGATGGTCTTCTAGCCTCTACTATCTCAACACGCATGCACTATACAAGGAAGCAAGCAAGCAAGAGAACACGTCTCCGATTCCTCCGAGTCGTGTTCGGCGCATTGCATGCGATTGTAGTTCAAGGCTGTGAGCACTTATTATTTTTACATATCAAACAAGACGGTCGAATATCTTTTTGATTCTTTAAACTTATCTGACGAGAAAGGTGCCGTTACGTGTCGTCGAAGATTGGCCGAGAAATAACCAGGACACGTGTAGGCATTGACGCCGTGTTTCTTCTTAAAGGTCAATATCTTTCTTTTGTGAGGGCTACATGTTATCCTGGTTTATTGTTTTATTATCTTCGGTGCTCCGCTGCTGGTCAGTAGCAATTATGGTGCTCCGTTGAGGATGCATCACGATTGAGGTGTAATTATAGATCCCCGTGTACTGTGCGTTGTTAGTGGCCGTTAAAGAACATTACAGATAGTCAAAATTTCAGGAGCCCTTCTTCTTATACTCATATTGTTATATTGGGACCTAATACCCCCAATATTGTCATTATTTTCGTTATTTCTCAAATACTAGAGTAGAAAATGTTTCCTTTCTTATTCAACCAGCCGCCGTCTAAAAGTTCTGACTAGAAAACAAATGGAGAACGAAATTATTTTGAGACAACCGTAGAAAAAGAGGCAGATAAACATTTAAATATCACCTGAAGGTGAAATTATTTCGTACTACCCGCTCAAAGCTAGATAAAACTGTAAATACTTGGACGACAAGTTAATATCGTGATGAGTGTGTGAACAGCGACCAGTATTATTAGGACAGAATGATTAGCCCAGATGCATGACGCCATTCTTCATCTCGACGAAAAGGCACGTCAAAGATGAGTTACAAAAAAATTCTTGACATTTAACTGAGTCTGATTGCATCAGAGCACGTCATTCCCGGCGCGAGCTTTTAGGTGAAATAAATTCAAAACCAGAATTCTGTTTATACCACAACAGTGACTTAAAAAAAGAAAGGATTTGGGTTCCCACGCCCCTTTGACGAGCGGTAAGGGTGTGTCACTGTACCATTTCCGGGTGCATAGCAAATACCACGGAGCCAGCGCCAGTTATGACGTCATACGTGTTAACCGGCCGCTTATCCGAACGGAATAATTTTAAAACGCGGTAACCGGCGCCAGTAAATGTAGCGCATAGTAATGTTGACTGGCACGGTGACTCACTTCTGGCTACTGCGCTTTAGTAATGAGTTCGGCTAAAAAGGCTCGCTGCTCGTGAATCATTAAAGTGGGCTACTTAGTATTCGTGAGTCACGCGCATCAATTCCGCCCACTTAGATAGGGGCGGAATAGCTGAAGTCTGCCTTTTCGATTGCCCAAGGTCCTTCACGGCGAGTCACGAGGTCCGAAGTAAGGAACGTCAAGGTGATGGATTGTGGTCATCCGTCGACTGAACAGCAGTTCGTTTGTTGGCGCACGGCCCGCAGCGCATGTTCATGATCTTGATGCAGTCGGGGTTGCTATAACGTTGTGTTATTTAACTTCTTAATTTTCTATATCTTCTGAAGAAGTTTAATTTGGGAATTATGTTTGTGCTCGTACCTATATTTATCTAAAAGTACATAGTCAATCTAACAAATTACTAGGCATTATCTCGGTCTCGAATGGCGCAATACCCAAAAGACTTCAACAAAAAAAAAAAGGCTTCACTAAGAGAGAATGTATTGAGAGAATAGCAGGGAGGTTAGCCATAACATTGGGTTCACTACCCTGCACTTAGGGAAGAGAAAATGGGGACGAAAGATGAGAAGGAAAGTGAAAAACACAGGAGACACGCGAAAAAAAAAGTGGTTGTTCTATTGTCCTATCCATTTTATTCTATTCCTATCTCCTATTCTATCTATTCTATTCGATGTCCTATTCAACAGTCCACTACCACGCAAGAAGATCATCAGGCCTTGACTGATTTTCTGTGCGAAGTCAACGTGGTGGCACTGGAGCACTGACTGTTCTGACAGGGGGTCTGTCGTTAAGGTGGGCTAACGCAGAATAGCGGCCGTCAATACGCCGTGTAGTGAAGGCAGTGGCAAAGAAAGTTCTCCTTCGTTTCGTCGCTGCCGCAATGATCGCAAGCAGCGCTAGGCCTTCAAGAAAGCAGTCTGTTTTTGCAAGTGCGAAGCTGACTTACACTTTTTTGTGAGGTAGCAGCGAAATAATAAAGCGGTGCGTGTTACTTCTAGCCGTCAAGCCAGCCGGGACGAGACTCTCGCTTTGAAAGAACGAAAAAAACACGATAGACGAACACTTATTGATGTGTTTGACAAAATCTAACAAAACCAACGATTGTGTCTGTTGCATTCATCAGCTTCGATATAATAAATAAATTCAATCTTCTTCTTTTTTTCTATTATTGTTGATTATTCGTAATTGCATGAGGCTGAAAACCTGGATGCTTCTCATGTGTTTAGGTGATTTGCGGAACTTTTGGCAAATCAATATCTATTTCCAATGTGCACAATGGGTGCATGTTTGTTGTGAAATAAAAATGCATTTTACAATTGAATGTATTAATTTTTCTCTGTGCCGTCTAACGTAGCTATTGTTTGGCCTTATGTCATTCAAACCCTACTTTACCCCGGTAAGCTGACAGTACATAAACTTCTCTCATGGTAAAATACTATTTTGATTACTATTAACCTCGAAAATGTCTTTCACCACAAGGGATTAAAATTTTTGGCATGCTACTAGGAAACTAAAGATGACGTACAAAAACCTCTAGGGCAAAGTCAAGGTCGAAAGTAAGACGGTAAGTTGGGCCAGTTGGTTAGGATCCATTATGAACTTACTTGCAGCGCAACACCAGAAAAAACAAAGGTCAGAGAAGGAGCAAAAGAGAAAACAGCGCCGTTTTTTCTTTCTCTTTTGCTCCTGCCCTGTCCTGTATTTTTTCTGGTGTTGCGCTGTAAGTAAGTTCACGATCAAGGTCGAAACTTCGTCTTTCATTTTCCAGTCGTTGTTCTATGTCGTCCTAGTCATCCTGCATCGTCTTTCGTATCTTTCTTAGCAGCTCACTGAAAATTTTCCTGTGTACAAACAACCGGTCTCTACACTCACTCTTTGACCAAGGATGTAGAGCACACGCCTACCTTAGGTAGCCCTATAGAAGAAAAGGGCTAAAGTGTAAATAAGTCGTGTAAAAGTACTGAGTTCGTGAGTAGACAAAATAGACAAACGAGCTAACCGGGATGCTAGAAGTCGGTCACATGAGGGAAAATCAATCAACAATTTGAACCACGTGTTCGCAGAATGTTTTAATTGGTCCCGAGACTGTAACAGGACAATGTTTCTTCAAACAAAATGATTACTTCAGGAAATTTGATATATACTCTGTTTACGTGCCTGAAGTTGTGTACAGATTTGCATTGGAGCTTTCATTTGCTAGCAACATGGTTAGAGCGACCGTCCCTTAAAGACTTCGTTTCCTGGTTCGACATCCAGACAGGACAAACGTTTGTAGAATTGAAAACTTTCGTTTATTAGAAACTCGCATAGATTTCCTCGTGGGCTCGTCTTACAAGCAGGTGGTAGTCAGCTGTCTCTTTCATTGGCTGCTTCGTTGTGGGATTCCGCAAAACAAATTTGCAATTTGTCGTAGTGTTTCTCCATTGCTCTTTCCTAAATGAAGAGCTATAAGTGTCTAGTAATTTTCGAGGCAAAAGATAATCTTCTTAGACGCAATAGGGTTTTAAACGTATGGCATGGCCTCTACGAGAACTCAGCTGGAAGTGCGAGTCTCTTTTAAGCTTTTGCTGCTTTCACCTACAACGCTAGGCTAAATGAAGCACTCCACGTTACTCCACTCGAAGCTGGAAACACGGTTAAGTAATCCAAGACAATAGTGTTTTTTTTTTCTTTTAATCTTCATTTTTAATATTGGTATACTAATGTGGCTTCATTGCTATGCTGTTGAAAATTTTTGGTCACTTTGATGTTCCAATTCAAATGAGTTTATTTTTGCTATCCTTCGGTGTTTTATAACCGTCTGGCTCACTTGGGTGAGTTTTGGTAAACATTTGGTCGTCAACATCTATACTGTCTCTGTACGCACACAATCCACTAATCCTAGCTTGTTGACC